AGAACTTATATGTGTGAAGAAGGTCGTCGGTTTAGATGCGCGCGCTGTGCCAGACTTGCTTGCAGACTTTCTCACAAATCTTATTTTTTTCAGTTTACCCTCACTGCTACAAGGATTTAGATTGCCCGCGGGCAATGTTTTCAGGAAACATCAAGAAGATGATTTTAGGTTAGGAAATGGTTGGCTTAGCCTTGTAAGTCTTGCATTTTGTTGTTGCTGGAGACACCTTAGCATTATTGAATGATTATAATTTATAAACACAAAACAAATAATAAAATAATGAAATATATTATTATAATATCATATTATTTATATATATTCTATATATTATTTTATATATAATAATATTTGTTTTTATATATAAATATTATTTGTTTTATGTAGTATTTATATAAATTATGAATATATTTAAATATATGGATTGATTTTTATTATGTATATAATATATATATATATATTTAAATTTAAATAAATATATATTTTGAAATTGAATAATTAAATTAAATTGGGTGGATATTAATATTTTAAATTTTAATATTATATTTATAATAAAATATAAATATTTTTATAACAAATATGTACAAAATATAATTATAATTAATATTTTTAAGTTTAAATAAATTAAATAAGTTTTTGAATTATTTTTCTATATTTTGGTTTAAATATTTGAATCTTAACATATATGTTTAATAATGATGATGGACAAATTTATGATTGAGTGGGGGATTTTTTTGTGTAAAGTATAGCCTTTGTTATGCGAAAAAATATTGTATATCGTATTTTGTATGTATGCTTATTGATTTTTTTATGTACGGCGTTAATACATGGGTAAATATAAACACCGATTACAAATACATAATTGGCGTAATGAATGGGTGTTTGGGGGGTAAAAATTCTAAAACAAGGTCTTATCTAAATATGTTTTATATTTATTTATATTTTATTGAATGTTGTTTTTTAAAATAAAATATTTAATAAACTATTATTTTAATATAATTAATTAGGTTTTTTTAATATAAAATGATTTTGTAAATATTATATATATATATATTAAAATATATTTAATGATAATTTAATTTTTAATTCAAACATTATTAATAATTAAATATATTTATCGATATATAACCGAATCTAAAATTAATTTCTTCGAATTTAATAAATAAATATAATAGTTAATCCTAATTAATTCAAATTTATACGAAGAAAATCATAGCATGTGTTTTTTCCATTTATTTATGTTTTAAATATATTAAATTCATTATACAATATATCAATCATTTTAAAATATGCTATTTATAAGTCTTTCTTAAAAAAAACAAACCAAATTCCAAATTTATATTTAAACAATTTAAACAAATTCATATAAAATATATTAAATAATACAATATTATATCTTAACCCACATACTCATAAATCTCCCTATTTCCATTTAGCCACTCAAAACCTTTCACATTCCTTATTTTAACTATACAATTTATAATTAAAATCATTATTTTAATAATACATATAATAAATAAAATAAAACATAATATATAATACAATTCATATTTTATAAAAAACATAATAATATATACAAACGGCATTACATAAAATCGCATAACATCTCACTAAACAAATAACACAAAACAAAAAAAACATTCGAAACTAAAAATATAAAATATTTAAACAGATTTGCAGAAATAAACTCAAAAATATCAAATTACGGTGCAAGAAGTAAGTACGCGCCGCATACCCCCGGGCCGATGGGTCGGACGGTTCGGATGGGCCAGCGCTCAATTTCCATCCCATCTGTCCGATTGGTCCGACCAGACCGATGGTAAGGGAATTGTGCACGTAAGGAATTTCTGCAGGAGTGATACAAATCTAATCAGTATTCCCAAGGATTGAACGAATCAAAGTCTGAAGCCGGCCCACTGCCTAAGAAATAGGTGCTAATGCTGGCATGGCTAGCTTCCGGGACTTTGCTAGATCCAAATTAATCGGGAAGCAGCCCTACACCATCAGGCCCACTTGGCTTCCCACCATTTTGCCACTCTTCACGGGGCTGATCAGAACAATTGCCAAATATTGCGATTGAAATATTGCTGCCTAGCGACGCATATGCAAAAGGATAAGCCAATAGAACAATTTGTGCAGGCAACTACGCAGGCGCCAATCGTCTGTATCTGCAGGCTGGCAGCCATTCTGATGCGATAGCGTGGAAGCCTTTTGGAGCACAAGCGTGCCAAACAACAACACGCAGCATAGTCTGGCAAATTGTGCTTTCGGCGGGATGTGGCCGCAGCTGCCGAACCAGGCGTTCAAAGACGATGCTGGGTCCACAACCATCCAAAACTCCAAGATTCCAAAACCATTCCTCATGCACTCCAAGTGGAAAAACACGACCCAACAGAGCAGCGCATCGGCAAAATGCCAGAATATTGCGTGCGCTGGGATAAGCAGGCAAGCGCAAGTCTGGAGGCTGCTTGTTCCAACTAGCGAAAAGCGAGAAGAATGTGATGTCAAATTTCGTGGTAGGGCTTCACGCCCAAGAGCAGATCGGCCACGGGAAGCATGCCTACTTGATCCACTTCCGGCATGACTTCTTCACTCATTTTGTCAGCATAACATCCCAGGCAGTTGCTTCCGACAAAGGAAGCTTCACGTATATATGACATATGAACGTCCATTTCGTCATGTCTCATTTTCCAGACATCCTGTCCCAAATGGTCGGGCCGACTAGCAGCTTGCTGTACCATCGCACGCCCTACCTACCAACTGTCTCTTCCTAATGCATCTTTGGGCACTACAGAAGGAGTGATTGTATCTCAGCTTCTCACCAGCTCTTGACGCCAAAAAAGCTTGCCAAAACCTCAGTCTGCTTGCGGGCTATCTTGCTGTGCCAGCCTGCGCACGTTGCCTGAGCTGCTGACACCAGCCCCAGCTCCGTAAACACAGAAGGCCACCATCGGCGGAGACCTTGGAACAAAGTCCCTTAGTACCCAGTATCCCCGACTTGCAGTCAAGGGGATCGCAAATGCTAGGCCGCCGGCACTTGCGGATAGCCTGCTCGGCTTCGGCATCACTTGCCAAGCATGTGGAGAAACAATAGGGTTATCATTTGAATTGCCAAACCACCGAATGGTTGAAACCGAAGGGCGAAACGTCGATATGCTGGGCTTCGGCGGGGGGAAACTACCATGTCCAAGGCTCTGGCGGAAGAAGAATGCAGGAGAGGCAAGCCTCACAGTTGCGGTCATGTATCTCAGGTCCCCTGGCACCGGCTGGTCAAAGCTGTGAACAGCCACTCAGTGCGGACCAGCACAAAAAGCCCTACCCAATCATTTTTCGGCCTCCCCCAAGCCCGCCGATTCAAGGTAACCTGACAGTTCTTTCCTTGTTGCTTGGTATTTGCTTCGTCTGTGCTACCCACCCATACTAAGCCATCAAACCCCTCAAGTTTTACAAAAAAACGTTCTTCTCGCACATGCATGCTTCTTACTAAAGTTTGCTTAACATGACGAGGCCTTCAAGCCCCTTTGCAGGCCAGCCCCTCATTAGCAGAAAACCGCCCCGCGACTAATCAGGGCCCTTTGGGGCGCAAAACAAAACATATATGTTGCCATTTGAAGCCCTATTGCCCAGAAGGGGCCAAGAAGGCAAGGACGGAAGAGGTTCTCCATGTTCCTGTTTCCAGTTCAATTGGCTGGGAAGGGGCCGGAAGTAAAAGGACGAGGACCGAAGGATCCAGCAAATCGCAGCTTTATAAACAAAAAACACTCCTGTCGGTGCTCCCTTGAGTCGCAGAAGGTAGACAATTCCTTGGGAGTACCATTCCCCAAATACGACACACCACGCCTCTGGGTCTGAATTGTGCGGAACCTGCATGTTTCTTTGCGGGTGATCCCAACCGGGCTTGAGCCCCAATCGCCGGGGCACGGCACGCCCAGCAGGCCCGACTGCACGCCCCAGGCGCCGATCAGACCACCACTGGCCACGTTATGCAGCAGGGACCGCCTGCCTCGGCTGGCAGGACACCCAAAAGAAGCTGGCTGCAACATATAAATACCATGTCCATCCATGTCCACCATACGGATTCAGCTACCCGCCATATGTTATTTCCCAAGGCCGTCTATTTGGGGGCATCCCCGCACGCTTGCAGGAATTAATTCAGTTTTTGAAGTTGTTAAATTATACTCGTCAAACAGCACATTCATTTTGTTCAACCAGCACCATTCAATGTAATTTGCTTATATCTTTCCAATCTTATGCGTGTGTTTCCAAATGCACATGTAGAATATGTTCAAGTAAGTTGAGCATTGTCGATTTGTTTTCAAAAATGCAAAACCAAGAGACCAAACAATGACTGAAAATGGGAAGGCGGCGCGATTGATACGAGGGGGGGTGTTTTTAACTGCGCGGGTGCCCTAGGTGCCTTTGGCCAAAGGAGACTTGAAACAGGCGACCTGACCGGGCCACGCCGGGTCCACATGGACATGCACTGCCAACCTGCCAGGTCACCTTGTTTTGCCCCATGGTTTACCATTGTGCTTGCTTACCTCTATCGCAAGAACCAGCTCCAGGCCACGACGTGAATCAACAAACGTCAATGGTCAGCATATCTCATTGAGGGGCTGCAAGTGGTCATGCCTTTCTGTTGAGTCCCCCCCAATAAAACCTTTCCACCCCTGAACTTCTGATAGGGTTTCGAAAGCAACCCTCTGCATATTTAGGACATGGTTGCAAAAATCAAGCAACAAAGGGTTCTGATGGCCCCGTCCCCCCCAGTTCCGCACTTGATCCCGCAGGATGGCGCCGTGAGCTGGGCTGTTGGAAGGGATCATATGGAATCATCAGCTTTTTGGAGGGTCAACCCATACGATCATCTGATCATATCAGATCCAAACGGATCCAAACATCCTCTCTGAACATGGGGTCCGAATATGTCGGCTTCTGTCTGCCCTGGCTTTGACAGGGCACGCCTTTCAGTCAACAAACAAAAGCATTGGCCTCGAACTTTTGGAAGGGACTCATCAACCCTGGCCAAGTTCACGCGAGGTTGCTAGTTGCTGGCTTTTGTTCAGCCAACGCTGAAACGGTACATCTGAAAAGCTCGCCAGTCTGTACTTGGCGAGTGCTCCTCCCCCTGCACTGTCACATTGGCCAGTCTCGAGGCCTTCTGTCGCGGACACATATCATGGCCCCGGAGACGTTTGCCGCCAACCAGCCAGAAGCACATGCGCCCACGTCACACTGTCCAGGGCCCATCTCCTCGCAGTGCTCGCACTGATCCGCACAGGCTGAGCAGTGACCGGCCTCCAAGCCAAAGCCAGGGACACACTCGGCGCAGCCTCCCCCCCCGGCTCCTGTACAACGCTTGCAAGCTGTGGCGCAGGCCTCACAGCTGCGATCCGGGGTGAGGCCGAAGCCCTCCCGGCAAACATCGCATCCGTAGGAGTCGCACACATCGCAGCCCTCCACCTGGCACTTGGAGCATCCCGCGGCGCCCTGAAGGCCATAGCCAGGCCGGCAGCTGCCGAGATCGCAGTGGCCAGGGCCCGCCTTGGTACAGTTGGAGCAGTGCATGGAGCAGGGCGCGCAGACACCGGTGGGGGTGAGGCTGAAGCCTGGGTGGCACTGCTCCGGATCGCAGCGGCCCTCGCCCAACAGCTCACAGCGAGCGCAGTGCTCAGCGCACAGCAGGCACTCTTGGAGAAAGCTTCCGTTTCCTCCCAAGCAAAGTTTAGGACTGTCAAGCGGTCTCAAGGCTTGAAATGCTTGAACATGTTGGGAGGGGATATGGGATGATATGGGTACCAAACCAGGCCATGCTATCAGCTGCTATCAGCTGCTATCAGCTTCCACCCGTCCTGGCGAAATCCGTAAAGTGGCGCCCTCCTTGCAGGCCTGGCACATGCCCAGCTCCGGGCAATTACGGCAGCCCTGCACCTAGGGGTGCTCACCGCTCACCCACAGTTTTTCAAGACCTCAACGCCCTTAGGCCCTTGAAGGAACCAGAAGAAAACCATGGTCGAAGTTGCGCAAACCAATGGGGCTCTAAGGTCTTCTTAACATCATCGTAAAACAAACCTTTTCGCAGCCGACTCTGCCTGGCAGGGCTGGCACCTGCCGTTCTCACCTAGGCCGAAGGTGGCTGGACAGCTTCGGCACGGCAATTCTGTTGCGCGAACGGCCGCGGAAGGCGTTAGGCCGTCTTTTTCCTCCGGCAAGGCTGTTGCCACCCGCAAAAACTTTGTGAAAATGGATGGGCCCGGTACGTTGAGGGACCCTGAGTTCATGATTGCCCCAGAACGGGGTCCAAACAGGAGGCTATCAAGTTTCACAACCACCTACGAACATCGTTGAATCTCAAGGGCACGCTTCCCTCACAGGGCAGGGGTCTTGTTGTTTGCTCTCCTCCGCATCTGAAAGGACCAGTGGAGCCATGCCGGCGCCAGCCTGGTCGCAGCTCAGGCAGGGCGTGCCGGCGCAAGGGAGGCACACCTTGTCAGCCAGGCCATGCCCTGGCAAGCACCCCCCGGCATCACAGTGCCCAGCACCCGCGGCGTTGCACTTGGCACAGCCCAGGCCGCAGGGCGCGCAGATTTTGAAGAGCCGGGTACCCAACGACACTGTGGAGGCCGCCTCTTGCAGCACAAAGCCGGCGTCACACTCCAGGCACGCTCCTTCAGAGTCGCACCGGAGGCAATGCGAGGAGCAAACCTTCCGCATAATCACCGCAGACTGCACTGGCAGCGGGCTAAGCGCACCAGTACTCGGATTTACAGCCGTCACGAATATCCTCGCCCGGGCTCCCCAGGGGAAGTCTTGAATCTTCCACTCTGCCAAGTTGGGAAAATTGCCTGGTTTGTCCAAACTGCGAAACAAACGACTTGGGCCATCGTTGATATGGAGAAAATCTGGCTGAAGGCAAAAGATTTGAAAAAAGCGCCAAGCAAGGGGAACCAAACCAAAAGAGGGTGTTGATTTCCTAAGCCCTGGATTTAGCTCAAATGGAAAAGAAGGTCCGACTTTCTAGACCCACAAACATGCTTGCAGATTCATACTTTCTCACACAGCTTCATACTTTCTGACACAGCTTCTAAAAACGGCTATGGGTTCCAATGAAAAGACATGAGCCGTGCATACGTTTACACCTAAATGGCCAATGGGTTTTAGCTGCGTACCTGGCCAAGCTGCTCTGATATAGACCCAGGCCCCCTGTCCCACTTTTGCGCATGACGTCGTAGACAGTGGGCTCAAAGCCGTGACTTGTGAGCCACCACCGCATCTGCAGTGGCCGGGCGGTGACTTGGCCATAGCGCAGCCCCCGGTTCCCATCACCGCCCCGACCATCCATCACCTATGGGATGAAGACATCCAGTTCAAACTGCCGGACCATCAACTGGATATTGAACTACCTTAAAACATAAAGTGAAACCACCTGCCCGGTAACTGCCCGACCACTTTTCCAGTTTCCTCTTGGTTTCCTTTCGGCTTTCCCAATCGCCTGCAGGCTGGAGGGGCTGGGCCGCCCGTCCGGCACAACCACGTAGTACACCTCCGGGGCGGCGTTTTGAGAGCTGGCCTCGCTTGTGGTCACGCAGGGCACGCTCACCTCAGCAACTCTAATGGGCGTCACGTAAAGTCAGTTTCTCTTTGAATTTCCCTTTGAATAGTCACTCGGGAGGCTACCTGATTGAAAAAGCCCGAAGACGGTGCAAGACACAACTCCCGAACGCCAAAATCAGCCGACACTCGACTGCGTGTTGACCTCGGGCCTTCGTAAGCACAAGTAAACATCAACAGAAGCAAACTCGTCAACCGAACAACAAGTCTGCAAGTAAAGACGAGACAGTTGCGAGTTGCGTTTGGAAGCATGTGGGCATACTTGGAAAACACTCGGGGGATGGGGGATTTGCATGTCTGGGCCTTAGGGCCAGGCTTCTCAGGTTTGCTCCAACGACCTGCTTCAACAAGCCGCACCTCTTTCACAACCACTTGACAACTGAATCACTCGTCACCTCGTAAACCTGCAACCCCTTGCTTAAACAACTCTTGGAACGAAAACTAAACAAACGGCAAATACCTTCACTCGCAAAGTAATATGTCACAATCCGGGTGCCCCAAAATGAGATTCCACAAATCATGGCGTTGGGGTTTGGCGGGGAGTATTCCCTGTTTGTGCGCGGAACGCCTGCACCCCGTGGTCCACGTCCGCTGGGGGAATATGCACTTGAGGTGCGCAGCAGGACTGCGGCAGGCCCATGGCGCTGGTCAGCATCCTGGGATTGAAATTTGAGCCCCGGCCTCCGAATCTTGGACACTTGGGGACAGAACATCCATATTGAACAAACGTCTGATTCATCACTTTACCCTACCAATCTTGTATAATAGCTTTGGACAATGCGGTCGTTTGGATTGGTGGTTGGAGCTTGGAAGGCGGTTTCCCGTCCTCCTTTTGCAATGGTGGTGAGTGGGGTGGCCCCTGTCATCCCATTTTCGAAATTTGAGCAGCTGGTAAAAGCACTTCTCAAATATGCATTGCCCCCTCTAATGAAGGCAAATTGCTGGCGATTATAGGTTCGTGTGATTTGCACCAAAATCAATCCCCGCTAAGCCAAGGGATCCCGGTGACTGACAAACGAGGGTTCCCATTGCCCACGTGACTCAAAACCAGGGCTTCCGACTAAAGGGAACTTTTCAAAGTTGTGAGGACTGAAGCTAGGCCAACCTGGGCAAACACAAGAAATCTCAAATTGTGGAGGAGGTTTCTCATGACCGGGATGGGCTGGGCAACCAAGGACACAGCCCTGTTTTGAGAAACTTTCAGAAAGGTGTAAAGCTCGGCTTGAAGGTGAGCATCAGCACCGGCTCCAGGTTCTCCACAGGCCCGTAGTGCACCGCCGTCAGAGGGCAAATGTTGAAGTACCTCAAGTTTCAAGAGGTGCGGCTTCAAGGGTACCCTTGCCACCTAGGTTCAAAGGGAGACCAGAAGGAAAATCGCACTCAAACTTACGGGTTCCTCTATATTAGGTCAACTACTCTCTCACCCACCTCACCTGCAAGAGCCTGGCTGGAGGCCGCGCAAGCCCATTTCCTTCAAAGGAACCCTTGGTGGGTTCTATGTCGGTGGGTGGGAGGTCCACCTACCCGACAGCGAGAATGGACCCTTGGATCTGGGCCCTTTGTTTTAGCGACAGCTCGCCTCCTGTCATGCCCTCACGGATCTAGCCCGTTGAATGCCCGAGCCAATGGCTGGACCACTGACAAAAACAAGCTGCACATATGGCGCCACTGTCGGCCTCCTGCTACAACTGCGCACTTGTTTCGAAGGACTGCAAGGAATCCTACGTGATTGTACTCACAACGGATCCTCATCCTATACCTCAGTACAACAAAGAAAGTAGGATCCAGTCTCAGCGCAATTTGCCAGCGGGAAAGCGGAGCCTTTCCACAGAAATACTCATCATTCTTGAGATCAATTGCTAATCGGTGAGATTGCTGAACCTAAAATGCAACCACTGGCAAGCATCGCAGATTCCCAAAGGGTCATTGTTCGCATTCTGGAATACGGCTGGTAGACTAGAAACAGCTAAGGCTGGCCATGTGCCAAAATGGAGCGGGCCCTCCGAAATGTCCGCTTTCCTGTTCAAAGGACCGAGCAAATAAATGAACGCCTTTCGGAGCAAATTGAGTCGAACTTGGACAAAAAGGACCCCACACGCCGACTGAAGTGACTTGCGCTTGACACCTTGGTCTCCTTGCCTAGGCGCACTGAGAGGCACACACACAGCAGCGCCACCCCCACGGGGGCCTCACTCGCCCAAGCTTCTGGCTTCCGATCCCAGGAGCTTCCAGGGAATTTCACCAATGGAAAACCGCAGCCACGCTTTCAACATGGAACCTGGGAAAGCCAAAGGAGCCTTAAGGAGACCCGAAGCTCGATTCACTTTGGAGGCTTCAAGAAGGGTTCCCCCAAAAGGGAGTTTCCTCGAGAAACCATGGAGTGTTGTGGTCCATGTTGATCGGCAAAGGAGCTTGCACGCCACTACGGAAGTTAGCTGGCAAGGACGATACCCCGTAGGCAATAGGTGTGTATCAGCTTACATCCCAACATCTATATCACAATTTCCCGGAGTTTCCCTTTGGATTCGAGGGCCCTTTTCCAACCTCCCAGGACCTGCTTTACGCAAGCCTCTTAGCCTCTTTCTCCCTATCGCTTTGTGGGCAAAACTTCCCTTTGCCGATTGACCGGTTTGGGGGTCGGAAAGCAGGCCCGCATGAATTAAACACTGCCTTGGACTCGAGTCGATGTGTCCCTCAAAAAGTCGCCTTCTGGATTCTTCCTGGGGGTGCCCAAACGGTTCCCCGAAAAAGTGGACAAACGGACGATCTGACAACATGTTGAGCCAACCCTTCCGTCACGGCGCCCAGTAGATCAAGAGCCACGTCCTGCAGGGCGGGCCGCCCAAGCGTCGAACGGAGCGCCGACTCAAAGACACGCCCCAGTCGAAGGCGTGCTCCTCACATACCCAAACACCACCCGTTTGGGTATGCGTCAACATCTGGGGACCACCAAAGTGGCTTCGGCGTTCCTTTTGGGTTTCCCTGCAAACCAGCCTTGAACCGGCAAAAGAAGAACGCACATGCAACGGGCCCTCAGCTTTCAAGTTAAGGCTCGCAATCGAAAATGAAGAGGATAAAATTGCAAAGGTAGTTGTCAAAGTCTAGGGTGGCAAAAACCACCCACAGCTTGCCGATGGTGGCGATTGGGGTGGTGCTGGCGAGAATAAGCTGTATGGCCATGAGCAGAACAACCACCGCCACGAGGTATTGTAGAAGGAAGGCCCCAAAGCCTAAAATTCGCTGCTGCAGCGTCATGTGGACGGCAGGCCGATGCGTCAGCACACGGTACAGCTTGGCCGCATCCTTGAATTCACCACTGACCCGGAAAAGAGTGAGAAGCATGGAGAGACACTTCATGGCATTCACTGACCAGTAGTCCGAGATAGGCACTATCCATTGCCCGCTCTCGAAGAAGTACTCCGGAGATGTCCAGCCAACGATCCACAGCATCCCAAACTGTCCAGCCGCCACAGCCAGCATGGGCGCTAGCACGCTAGCCCTGCCGCTCACAAAAATCAAATTGTAGCACGTGTGGCTCAAATCGACGACCTGCAGGGTGCACGTGCGGACGCGCGCCACCTGAAAGCTTTGAACACCATCAACAAACACATAATGCAAACAAGTCATCAAACAAACCACGCCGGAAGCGAAGCACCGAATGAAATGGAGGGCTGGCCAATTTTGATTCACACTCCCTCGTGGGGAATTGCTACAAAGGAGGCTGAATCTTGCCCCAACCCAGGCATTCTGCAAGGTGTTGAATCCTGTGATTCATGCCCGCCTCCTCCTCCACTTCCGGTTCAACCAGTGGCCGCGTTACTGAGTTACTGCTGCTGCAGCCGCTATCCCCGTTCCGCTGCCAGTGGGGGGAGTGACCGTTGGCCTGGCCGTTGGCCTTGACAAGGCTCCTGACTTGCATGGAGGATACCAATCGCGTCCTTGTTTCAGGGCACTCTTAGCTGCTTTCATTGTTTGGCGTTTCACAGGGAAAGCAAAAGGTAACCACCCATTCAAGTGGGTTCCCTGTTTTGAAGCCCCAATGGCCAACCTTTCGGGCCGTGTCAATGTTTTTACGGGGCCGTGACTAGAAGGAGACCAAAGGGTCCAAAAGGGATATTAAGTTTAACAATTTAACAAGTTGATGCCCATTGCGCTGAGCGTCAGCTCTAGGTCTTGCCATGGCTGCGCCATGTCCACGTACCCAGAGGTGGGGGATGAGAGACGATCGGTCGAATCCGACCCAACCATGAGCGAATCAACACATGGGAAGAGACAGCTTTTCGCCTGAAATTGTTCTTTTGTTCTTTGGTATTTGTTGGTTGCCTGCAGCCCCGAAATCCGGCTTGGCCCTCCTTGATGCGTTAAAAACGTCTCGGTCACGTTCCATGCCTGCCTGTTTATCGTGCTTCTAGTTTGGCCCGCTGCTAACTGACTTAGTAATGGTCAGCCAGAAGCCGAAGGCCTGTCCCAATCAAAATCCCGCTTGAACAAATTGGCGGCTTCCGCTTTTGCCAGCTCGAGCCGAGAGTACAAACAGCCAGTCAGCCAGTCGCCTATTGCGCCACAAGCCCCAGCATGACTCCGAGACTCAATCTCCAGAGCACTCAACCAAAGCACCGACTATTATTGACCAGGGATGGCAGCGACTAAATCAACCAACATGATCCCGAACCCATACACCGCCCTAGTGGAAAGTTGTCATTCATGCGGTCAAGATGCCATGCAATGCCTCCATGGGGCACTGCAGCGCGTGATAGGCATAAATCAGCCCGCAATTCAGGACCTCGGCTGGATGTCAGCGTGCACATCATATAGTGTCGCCGAAAAATATCAGACAAATACAGGCCGGGGGGCTGAAGGCAAATTTCTTGGGACCCTGAGCCAAACTGAACCTTGCAACGGAATCCGACCTCACGGGCCTAAAACGGAATTCGACCCCATGAAACACCCGCTGTGACACTCGGAGCCCGGCAAACAAGGTCGGCGTGATCCGGGCTCCCTGGAGGATATGGATCGCCTCAGTGATCCCATTTCGGGAAGAGAATATGGTGGCATGCCCTGGCCTCATCTCATGCTAAAGCGGAAGCTGGGCTCTGCTGTGGAAAGGGCATCCATGTTGTACATCATAATTACATATGCATGAACAACTGCATACCAGTAACACACACACACATGACAATTATATAACCAATCATCCATGCTTATGAGCGTGGGAAGGTGATTGCGCATCCCCCTTCGCAATTCTGATTGAGAATGGGATGGGTGTCTTTCCCCTTCATTTACCCGCCTTCTTGATTAGAAATTACTTGGTATGCGGGTGAAGTGAGAAAGAGAACCTCATCATCATATGCCTCGTCCCCCTTCCTTCAATCTTCCACATCCAGAATAGAGATTTGGTCATGGGATGTGGAAGAGATGAAAGGAGCCATAAAGCCAATTAATTATCGTATTCCTTCATGATTTAATTGGCAATGATTGTTACGAGTAGGGGCCCCTTTCTTCGGATGCTGATTAATGTTCAGAGGCAAACCAACTACTTCGCTACTTCCAGGGTTCGCCAAACACTACCAATCCCAGGGGCACCGCCCTAACCTAAGCAGCCCCAGTGGAAGAATGGTTCCAGGCTCCCAGTCGCCGGGGAAAGCCCCCCCCTTCTGGTGGTTCATTGCAAAAAAGGGAAGCTCCTTTCTAAAAAAAGGCACCGGAGGTCTGGTGGTTGAGCTCGCCCAAGAACCCCTGGAGTTCTTATTCTGGCTGTTGCATATTCGGTTGCGTGGCCAAAAGTCAGAGCTTCCCAATCAAGCCCTGCAAACCATGCTGCCTCAGCAATAAGCCAGGTATTTCCTGGACGCCTGGCTTCCGCGGGCTTTTCGGAGCTATGACTTGAAGGCTCGGGCTGAAAATCCGCAGCCCCAGGTGATTGAAGGCACGACCTTCGGATGGATCAGATGGCCAGGGGGCTATGCGAATCCCGGGGCTGTTCGGCTGCCTTCAAACATGTCTTGTCTGCTTTATTATTTTGGGTTGCCAAGGTTTGGGGCCCATGGAACTGCAAAGGGGCAAGCAACTTCGAGTGCCGGTGCCTTGGTAGTGCCCTGCTGATGCTGCAAGCCCGCTTGAGAGTAACACCCAGCGTTTCTTTCCCACACATCAGGCATGACGTCTTGCGATTCTGGCAGCGCTGCCCACCCGGCGTCTAACTGAGTAGCGCGCCGGAGCCGTGATGCATTGCTTTTGATAGTTCGGGCTGGCCAGCATGTGAAGCGAAGGGTTGAAACCTGTCCGCCTGGCTGCGTTGGATTCCTTTGGTTCTGTGCTTAGATGCTTTGTAAGTTTTCAGCATCGGGTGCTGCGGCTGTATTGAGCCATGGGCATCAACCGAATGTGTGGCTAAGAGGGCTGCTCGCACTGCACGAGCACTCCGAAGCTTTGCCAACAATGGAACCTATGAAGCCAGCAGGAAAAAACCTACAGGACGTTGACCAACATATCCAAGGTCTGGCTTCAGTTCTGGCAGATTCCCCTCAAACCGAGGCTCGCAATGCGCATTTCCTCATATCGCGCAACCACTCACTTCTAAACCTTGGCAGCGGCTCATCGAGCGGCAGTCCTCCTCGCACAGTCGACCGATTGTCTTTTTGCTTTTGTATTTTCCTCCCTCTCTCTCCCTCCCTCCATCCTAGAGCATGCGAAAAAACCGCCACACTGCAAATAAAGCATGCATACGGTGCATACGTACTCCCTTTCGGCTTCTCTTTGGGAAAGCCGGCAAAAGCAAACCATCGCCCGGTCCGTCCCGGGGATTGGGCTCCTCGCTGCTCAAAGTTTCCGTGGAACTCCGGCACCTGAGAAGTTTGAGCGGCTTGCCGCTGGAAGGGTAGGGCCTAAAGGGCCTAAATAATACGAGTGAGGGGGTGGGACTTCAAAACCAGATTTCAGATAACCAAGAGACAAAAATGACAATGTGCATTTGAACATGGGGACTCAGGCCATGGTGTGGATGTTCACGGAAGGCCCTGGCCTCAGATCGGAGGCTGCACAGAGCCGACCTCGGCGAAACATTTGCAACAACACTGGGCCAAAGTGGCAGAACCGGCCATTCTGGGCGCGGGGCGAAGTCTGAGAAGTCGGGGTGCGCGGATAAATCTGGAACCTCCCCAGCTTCCGCCACCTTAGACTGCCGGAATGTACAAGTCATGCTACAAGCGGCCAGCCTTCAGGGCGATCATGGAAGCCACGGCCTCAGATCAGCCGCACGAGCCGCGGATCCATGGCAATCGCCGTAATCGCTCTGACTTTGACATCTTGCCCAAGGCCAGGGCCAGCTTGGCAGCGGCCAGCCGGGCTTCCCTGGCAGTCAAGCAGCGGATGCCTGTAAATCACTGGTGCTTAACTCCCAACTAGTTCAGTTCCTTTGATTCCATGAATCTGGCATATGAGCAAGTCAGACAAGAGAGAGCAAAAGCTCAAGTGCAAAATGACATGCTAGCTGCTAGGCCCCAAACGGTTGTCGGCCGACCCCGACTCCCCAGCAACCTTGGTGGCTGAAACGCAGTTGCACTCCTTAGGGTGAAAATAAAAGCCTCCGCCCCTGAGGAAACTCTTAGACTCTTCGTAGGCGGTTTCTTTGATATTCCTGGGAGGGTTCTGGGAACCTTCCGGCAAGACAGGGAGGGTGCTATTGTCTCCTGCCGACTGGGTGTGCTGCTTAGAGTGTTGCAAATCGCCAGCTGCAGCGGCTCCTTCCGTGGGACCCGAATTCAGGCATCTCATGAGCCCTGTAAACACGGGCTGCTTGACAATCACGGAGATTTCTCGCAAGCACGGCATTTCCAGAAGAAGGAGCCCTTGAATTCGCCAGTCGGATGTGGGAAGCCCCCTCCAATTGCACCAAATTCTCGGATAGTACCCACCGCTGGCCTCCATGGTCGCGTGGGACTTCAACGCCTGACCGACTTCTGGAAACCTCGGGCAGTCGCAACCAGAGCCGTAACCCACAAATTGGTCCCAAGGGAGTCCACCCAAATTTACAGGATCAAAGGATGTGGTAAGCTGTGAGCGATTTGTGGTTGGGAGTGGCCCTGCTTCAATGGCCCGGGTGCTAGTTTTGGCTCATGTTTGGCTTCCCTCTGAACGAACCCAACACAAACAGTTGGCCCAAAGTCATTCCTTTGAAAGCACCTGACAGGAGCCCTCACCATGTTGGCCCGCACAAGGCCAAGCCACAGGCTTTGCAAGGGCAACCAGCGACTTCCTGGGCCCCCCGCTGTTCCCAGGTTTCATCATCGTAGAAAAGAATCTCCTCCTGCCAAGGTGCGGAGCGCCGACTTGCCAGCAAAAGAGGAGTCGGAGGGTCACGGACCATGTCTCTCCTTTGGCTGCTTTGGCGCTAAAACTCCAAAGCACATTTCGCAAAGCACTAGAGGTACCCAGAAGCATGGAACCCATTAGGGCCCCCTTTGCCAAACAGGTGTCCAAAGGTAACGCCGCGCTTCTTGGAACGCCTCCGGATTTGCCACCAGGTCTTTCAGTACCGCATCGATGCCCTGGTACACCGGAGCGTTGGGCCGGTCCTGGAAGCGAGACCATCTCACAGCAGAAACGTGATTGAGCAACAGAGTGCATTCACCATGCCACATGTGGGATTTGGGCCGGCGTGGGCGTTGGTTGTCTTGACCCTCTGGGTGCAAATGCCCATGCCCTTCCAGACCTGTCAAATGGCCCTCGAAACAACCCAGTACCAATCTGTTCATAGCTGTCATAGCTGTTGGGGGGTGTTCTGCTTCGGGGCGCCTTTCCAGAAAGACACCAATTCCCAGCACCAAACTGTCAAGAGCTGATGACTGAGGCCACGGCTGTTGCCACGGCTACTGCATCACTGCTCAGCTCCTGTGCTGGGCCCAAATCATCAACCACTACTTTGGAGCCAGCCCATGAGCAGTCAATTCGAGCACATCCTTCAACGCTCTGTTTGCGTTGTTAGGCCTAGAGTGTCCAGATGATCCTCTGGGTTTGATCCTTGCTTGTTTAGTGGGCGTGCCTGGTATGCAGAAACTATGAGGATTCATTTAGAACATCCTCCGGTTTCAATTCCATCACCTCGGCAGCTTCGCGCAGCCATTTGTCTGCGCTTTTGCACATCCCTTGGCATGCTGGGCCGCTTTTGCTCCCCAGGCGTTGGGTGAAGCTTAAGGACGATTCACCACACAACAACCCTTCACCGGCGCCAGGAGGACAGCGGCAATTTGTGCATGAATTTGAGGAACTGGGAAAACCTCACGCATCTGCAGTATTCGAGTTGCCCAACAGTCATGCGGAATCTAAAGGCTTTTGGGTGGTGCATGTTTGGGAGCTGCATCACAGCTGCATCGTAGAAGCTTCGACATCCCGTCTTTGCTCACTTGAATAAATGGCAATGCCTTTGCGGACCTGGGCTATCACTGGCAACGGTTTTCCCAGCTCAGTTTAAGCTCTTGGCATGGCTTCGTGCCAGTTACATGGCCGCGATCTTGTGTGGCGGCTCCCGTGCGCCGCAATCACTTCCGCCCGTCTGTTCCGCAGAAGCTAGGGCGACTTCCCAGCTGGAGGACAATGTACCAAGTGGTGTAAAGCTTTGTTTAAGCAAATTCTAAGCCTTTCGGTACTCAAAGCCGATTCGAGCATTGGCAGTAGGTCGCCAGTAGTTTGATGGTGGACCCCATGTTATCGTCTGTGGGGATTTCAGGTGCTGCAGCGCTGTGGCGTCAGAAACGGGCGGCGCGTGGCTTAGCCATGAGCCGCCCTGCTTGAATTAAATGCTGTTATGGAGACTGCCCTCGTCTGGCAGCTTTCGCGGCTGCTCTGCTCTCTGCATCATCCTTGGTTCAGATTCTCAACCCCCCCCCCTGCTGAAAGTAAGACACCAGGAAAGAAAGGCCACTCTCCCATGAGCTTCTAGCCCTTGAGGTGAACAGAATGCCAAGAAGAGCCAGCATCTGCAACCCGTAGACCCCCCCGTGAAGCACCGTCGAGAATCAATCACCCCCTTGACGGATTGGGAAATCTGCTTGACTTCCGGCACGAAGAGCGTGATCTCAAAGGCCTCACAGCACTGAGCTCAGGTACCAGAGACGCGCAGTGCAAAATGCGCCTTGGCAAAGGAGTCCAAGGAGATGCTTCCAGTGGTCCGGAAGATCTTGTGCCCTTGCGCATGCCACCAAAAAGCCCAGGGTTGGTGCAAAAACGGCGCACAGGGAGCAAAGCCCCGCCTCTGATGGCATCAATCATCTTGGGCAATCGTTCAGCCCTGGTAGTTTCCACAAGTCACAGCCAGCGATGCCATGCACTGAACACACATTCTGTTCATGACTCGTGCCTCAAGCCTTTGATCATCGCGCCGAAGATGTCAGCCAAAGTGTTTACCGCCTGCCCAAAAACAGATAACATGAGACAACCCCATTGGCCACTGAGCGCTCCTCGTCCAGCTCCTTGTCAGAAATCTTTTTGTCTTGATCCTTGCATTGTCTCTTTGATTATGCTGCATGCGTTCGACAGTCAGAGGCCGCCGCTTTTGGGGAGGCTTATGGGCAAACAACTGTAGAGCACAGAGACAGGCTCATACGGGTGCAAATAGGAATTGCCCTTCAAAACCACCCCAAAAACCCTCCCCCCCTCTCCCCGGCCCGAAAGGAAACATCGGCGAGTGGCCACGTCCATATAGAGCTGCACCATGCGGCCGATGCTCATTCCCATCTTGGAGCGGGCCGCTGTTTCCATCCTCGGCCACGAGCGGGCAACCCCTGGGGCGGTCTTTGGCCCAGAACGTAGTCGCAACTATCATGGGTCTTGCAAAGCCGGTTTGTGCCCTGCAAGTGAAAGGTCAGACCAACCAAGATCGCAGAGCAACCCTTCTCCAATGGTTCATACTTGGGCGGTTCTCCATACTTGGGCGGTTCCCCCAAATCGAAACAATGCGGACCATTTGGACCCCCCCCACGCGCAGCAAAATAAGAAAGCCAACGCGAACCCAACATTTGAACGGGTCCGGTCAACTTGACTCAGTTGCACTTTGCCGAGCGTCATCCGAACCTCCTTCATAGCACGGTCAATGTCGCTGCCAAACTTTCCTCAGTGCATATGATTCAATTCTTGAAGAGTTCTCGGAAATTGGCAACGATAATTACATAAACCTGACTTGAACATGGCTGACTGAATCGCATAGCCCGATACCTCGCGATGAGGCAAGTAGACATGTGAATAAGAACATGATGCACTCTCCCACGAAGAAACACAGAATCTTCAGAAGTGCAAATACCTGTTTTGTGTTGCTTAGAGGACATACTTCTTTCTGGGCGTCTTCCTTTGTGCGTGGCACTGCTAACACCCGAAAATGAGATATTGAAGGCAACAATATTTGGCCCACACACTTAGGTTCTGTTTCCGAATGGTATTGTGCCTGTGTGTGTGTGTGTTTGCTTGTTTGTTTGTTTGCTTGTTTGTTTGCTTGCTTGCTGTTTGTGTGTGTGTGTGCGTGTGTGTGTGTGTGTGTGTGGTGAGGGGTTTTATCGGGGCGCTGTCGATCTCTTCGAAGCCCTTCGCCGCGGTTTGCAGGGTTCGCACCTGAGCACGGGCAAAACATGCCATCGCGACGACCAGAGATCCCTTATGCAAGTTGGGGATTGTCAGTGGGTGTTCAATGTAGGCCAAAGCGAGACTATCTTTTGAGGACCCATTTTCTGTTGCCTGGTCATGTGTTCCTGCATCTTCCCAGCTGCTGAGCAGTGCATACGGCATTGCAGGGATCCTTTCACCTTTGCGCCAAGTCACCTCCTGGGCAGTTTTGTCCACGTTCTTTTGGTAACCTTGGCAAGGAGTAGTCCCCCCCTCCCCCGTCGCCAGGCAACGAACCAACTGTCATTGATTGCACGCGTGCAAACCACATGCCATCCCCAGGCTTGCATGCTGGCACAAGAGAAGTGCCAACAACATGCCAACAGCACCTCTCCATCACCTGTTAGTGACCCCAACCTCGGCCCAGCGGCTGTCGTTGTTGGACTTAAACTTTTCCACCTGCGGGCACGTTCGCAATCCAACCACCCAATGCTTGGCAATCTGGGAGAAGACTCGCGCCTGCTCATGCAGCCGGAAGTAGGTGACTATGAGGTCGGAATTCATCATCAAAAATATCTTGGTGCATCGCAGTGCAGCGCCGTCTGCTCTCCCGTTTTTGGATGGTTTGGAAACATGTCCTAGCTCTCTTTTGACACACCGCCTTTAGGGGTCCTTATGCAGAGGGGCCCTGGCACGCACCTGTCATTGGCAACTGGCCCAATGCCAAGGCCGAGCTGCCCCGGTCGCAAAGAGCAAGGTGCCGATGACCGGTCTCAAAATGCCGGGCTGGGGGACCACGTACATCCACGTGCCCACGGCAAATATCACCGCCTCACATGCGACCAGAGAAGCGGCTCCCTTCCTCCCTTCAAAGGGATGTGGTGGCGGGGTCCCCAATCACATCTTTCGGTAGCCGACAGTTGCCAATGCACCCTCCCCTAATTCCAATTTTCAAAAACGGGTGAGCCGTTGACCCTGAACAAGCCAAGATGCGGAGAAGGCATAGACAACCTCAGTTTGCAGCTCTCGACTTCACGTTCTTCACTCTTGAATCATGCACTTGAAGCTCTCAAATGAACTTTTAGATGCTTTCGGGAGGGCACACGCTAAGCTGCAACGGGGCATGCAAAAAAATGACCGGTAGAAGCCAGCGCTTCAAATCCACCAAGCCGCATAGTAAAGCGAGTTTAGGTCCTCGTGCTTTGAGGCCTCATCATCGCTACTCGCATCAGCCTTACCCTGGGCCAGCTTCTGGTAGACCTCACGGGGCACATGCATCAGGCTTGCACGGGGAACTCCTGGCCGCACGGCGTCAGCCCCCAAAGTTGAAGAGCAAAAAAGACTGCAGTTTCCCGGGGCTATCCGTGAGCGTGCGCTTTGGTGAAAACGAGCGGCGCCACCACGGCTGAGGAAGCTAAGGACCCAGGAGGTGCTGAGGCCCAGAAAAGGCAGCAGCACTGCACCTGGTCGGATTCATCTGGGGTGCTTTTGAGGGGGGTGCCTCTTTTTAGGATTGCTTCTTCATAGGGGAACAGAAGGAACACCTCTAATCTTTCAGGGTGCCAAGAAACCCCTTGGGGCACCAACAAAAAGGGTGTGGTTTGTTGAGACCGATGGATTGTCATCACCGAGCACTCCATTATTGCTAACTTTTCTGGGCTTCCCTGTATATACCACCTCCTTGAAAATATGTCTGGGCAGCTGTTTTAGTAAGGGGTGTCATAGAGATTTCCCCACCCTGTAAAGGAGAATGAAATACAGGAAAGTGTTTTTCGGTATGAAAAGCATGCCCGTCTGGGGGATGAGAAAAACGTAAACCCAAGCCTGTCAATACTAAACTAATACTTAACAATATTAGAATACTAAACTAATACTAATCAATATTCAACTAATACTACCTACTACTGAACCAATACAAAGCCAATCCTGAGCCAGCAAAAACCAAATGAGGCCCCAAGTGGCCAAAACAGTCGCTAACCGATATTACGGTTCATGCATTTAGCACCAACCAGTGGACCAAATCTCGGAGGAACCATCTTGGAGAGCCTCCTTTGGCAGAAACAGGGTTCCATTCAGACTTCCTCAAACCGGGTTCATCAAACTGATCTCCTCAACATCCCCCTCGAAATGGTGCTCTATCGGGGAGCAACCCCTCAAAAGTCGTTGTATCAACGTGTTCGCTTTTCGGGGGCATGAAACGAATATCGCCCGCCGCTGGAAAATCCTGTCCGCCGTGCCTAGCAGCACCTGCTCCAGCGCCAGCGACGCCTCATAGAAGCGGACCGACGAACACTTGGGCAAGCGTTTTTGTGAGAAGCACCTTTTGCTTGGTCGGCTTGCTATTCGATCATTCGACCTCAAATGGGTTTCAACAAATGCGACACACGAATATCGGCATTTGGCGCAAGCTGCCCGTTTATGAGAACCCGTTTATGAGAACCCGTTTTGGGCCCCCTGACTAGTTTGAAGGGTCCCCTGACCTTGAGACATGTAGCTCCTGCAGAACACAGGGCCGCAAAAACGGCGCAATCCTCAGTCTGGCTGGCCTGGCAGATCGCAGCGGTGGTTGGTTTTATGGTTTCCCCATGCGTGGTGTGAAGCCCTTCATGCAGTCTGAAGAGCAGCTACATTGTCCACGCATGAGCTTGAACAAGCGCCCTCAGCATCTACAGGAAGATTTCCATACTAGACAAGTCATCACCGCTTACACTGGGATCCGTCTCAAAATGGTGGACCCCCGAAAATGGGTGGCTTCCTTTTGGTTTACCTTGCAATCAAAAGGGGGTTGCCAAACTTGTGCGCACGGCTCATTTTTCGCCCCCCAACGCTCGCCCCCTCAAGCCCAGGCGCCAGCCCAGAAGAGCCCCCGACGCAGGCCGCCACATGGGTGGCTGTCTGGTAGTGGGGGTAGAGTCCGCTTGGCTGTAGCACTGCACCCTGGGCGCAAGGAAACGCATTGGCCATAAAAAACAACTCAGCCAAACAACTCAACTGAAACCGCAGACTAAAACAAAAGCACAAATAAAACGCAGAAGAACAACACAAAATACTACTCAAAATAAACACAGAACAAACTCAGCCTTCACCTCAGAAAAACAAAAAAACACAAAACAAAAACACTCAGAAGACAAGTCAGAAACAACTCAGCCTTGAACTCGATCCCCCCTCTTGAGCTGATTCTATCTGAGTTAATTCTGAGTTTTCTTTGTTTGTTTTGAGTCTTATTTGTGTTTTCGTGAAGGAAAACTGCAGATTTCTTCCCCAACCAACCCCCTCAGCAAAAAAAACAACAAGAAAATCAAACAACCCCTCAGAAACAACTCAACAGACACTTAGAACAATCTCAACATCTCAAGACAATCTCTGAAATAACTCCGAGAAAACTCAAAAAAACTCAGCTCCTGACTCGGCCTCAATCTCAAGTGGGGGGGGATCGAGTTCAAGGCTGAGTTGTTCCTGAGTCTGCCCAGATTGGGAGTTTTCCAGGTTGATTTTTTTAGATTAAGGGTTTTTGTTGCTTTGCCTTGCTTTTTTTAGTTTTGCAAATTCCTGGATTTGTGGCCTCTGTCGGCGATATCAGCCTCCCTCTTGGCATAGAACCCTGAAAGGGATAGCTGGTATCCAAACGTATCCAGAAAGGCTGCTCTGGAAATGAGGTTTTGGCTGGTTCTGTTGGCTTTCAGGAGGGTAGACAGTTTCCTTCTGTTCGCTTCAAACAGGAGTCAAGGTGGCAAAACATGAGCTGCCGGGGCTCACTAGCATTAAGATTCTCCTCCAAGTTCTGCAGATCGGAGTACGCCTCTTGAGCTTTCCACTGCGGGCAGGTGGTTGCCAAAGCAGTCCTGGGCCATGCCACCACCAAGCACCCGCCAAGACCACGCTCGTTGCGAAGGGAAATTGCACACACGCACACAAACCGCAACAGGCTGACACATTGCAAAGCCGATGGCCAAGACCCTCATTGGGTGCCAGCAGCAACACACAACCAACATGGCATCTAACATGGCATCTCAATAAAAAAGCACTGGGGATCGAGCCCAAACATGCCAAACATTCTGGACATCGCCATTCGGGCCGTCGGTGTTTGTCGTTCGCATGGCTTTGTCAACGTGTCTGCCTGCGGTTGAGGGACAAATCCAAACCTTCCGGCCTCAAAAAGTTGAAGCTTAGCAGCTCTTTTTTGGGAGGGGCCTTTTGGTACAGTGGCTGGGTGCAAAGGACCAATCTCTGAAGGGCCCTGGCAGTACCCTTCATTCAAAGGCTCTTGGCTCTCAAAACCTTTCGTGCGCCATGAATTCCACCCAGGAGCCGGTACTCATCCAGCCAGCTGATGCAAGCAGAAACCGCAGCCTGCGCCAAGCTAAGGTGCGCCGTGGCCGGGTTGTCGGGCTTGCCTGGCAGGCAAAGGAGCTGGAAACCAAAACCCAACCTTTCCGGACCAACACGGAAACGCCAAATGTTCATTCATATGGCGACTTTGGGCAGCGAGCTTGGATGCTTTTGAATGGAAGTCACGGGGAGAATGACTCCTCGGAAAGGCGCCTGGCACATGAGGAGTGTTGACCCCTATGAATGATCCCACGGGTGTCAGTCAACAATCTACTCTTGTTGCAACCCTGCTTGGGTGTTGGCAATGCCCAAAAGGCACCAAAGACTCGGGGGCGGGGCTGGCTTACTTCATTCATTGGACATAGGCTTCGGTGGCGGGCTGGCTGGGAACAGCACCATCCAACAAAATGACTCTGGGGCACAGAGCTCAACACTGTGGTTTGGCGACTCCAGGAGTACATCTGCGTGCATCTTGATGTGGGTGTTGCTCGAAATTAGGGATCCCCTTCAGGTGGTTGGCTAGCCTTTGAACCCCCTATGTGGCAAACCTTGGATTCGCCGAACATTTGCCACCTGAAAACCCCTTGCGAACCTGCCTGTGAGGTAGTACTCAGCCAGCCCGTAGGCCGATGACGTCTTCCCAGCCGTCCTTCACATCACGCCGCACAAGTCCCGAAAACGGGGCACCACGATGATACGCGGCGTCTCACAGCTCATGCAGCCGAGGCTCTCCGATGCCAACTCTAGAACTTTGGAGTCGGGCCCGCCTGACACGCCAGCTCGGGCTCATGGAGCAACAAGAACTAATTGCTCCCTCATGCACTTGGCGGCAATCCTCTGCAAAAAATCCCATGTAGATCGGCAAAAGCCAAATAGCCCAGCTTCCGCATGTTTGGAACTAACTGGGATAAAACGCAGAATTGCGTAAGCGCTACACATTTGGATGACTGCAACCATGTTTCCAATCAAGGGCCTCTTCATGCTTCACCAAGGTCAACACATCAACCCATGAAGGAGAGGAGGTTGGCTCCACCCGAGGGAACTGCATCTACTCATTTCCTGTTTGGAGCCATGCTTAGAGGGGATTTGCTGGAAGGAAGGCCATCTCCTGAAGGGACCCTCTGGTGGCTCTCCACCTGGGAACGTGTCGGGACTGTCGGGATTCCAAATCGTTTCAGTCAGCATCGACAGGAGCCCCTTGAGAAACACAACAGCAGCCCCACAACCGCTAGTTTCGTGCGCGAATCCGCGACAACCGCGGAAAACGGGAGGAAAGCCGTACGGAGGGCCGCGCCCCGGCAGAAGTTGGTCACCGTCCCGGCGGTGGACAACTCTGCCGCCGCCGCAGTGCACAAGACCACCGCCGCAACGGCGATGGAAACGGGCAGCACCAGCCGGAGCCTGTCGACTCCGGATCTGTCCATCTGGTGGATTCGTAGTCGATTTGTCAGTTTGGTGGATTATTTGGGAGGGAGGGCCTCCAAATGTGAAGGATTTCCCCTTAACGGGGACGACCCATTCACCAACCGGGGTGCTTTCAGCCATAATTATTTATCCTGCATTCCCGTGGGCCCGGTGGCCCAGGAGGAAAAAGGCACCTTTTGCGTTGGCCGCTTCTAAAGGGAACCTCCTGCTGCCCCACAAGAGCAACCAAAAGGTTGTCACTGCGGTGTTGCAAATATATAATTTCAGCGGGACTCAACGAGGAATCTGACCAACAAACATATTCTTTGGAAAATGGACTTATGTTGATAGTTGCCTTCTTAGGCTTTGTACCAACTCCGTGATGTTTGTAAAAGGCAAACATGCAAAAGGATTGTTTCCGGAACGATACAGGGGAACCTCTGACATCAACGAGTTGTGCCTACTGTCTAGACCACAATGCCTCATATTTTAATGGTGTGTGTGTGTGGTGTGTGGTGAGTGGCGCGGTGCGCATGCACGCGCACATGCAGTTATCTGAACCGGCATGCTCCCAAGCTTGCGCACGGCACAGCAGGCCACACCACACCACACCAACCCACACCAAGCCACCACACTGAACCGCACCAACCCACGGCACACTACATCACACCACACCAAGCCACACCACTGTAGAGTCGCAAACAATCGCAAATGATCGAACTTTTGAAGTTGCGTTTCGGTGTGCAAGTGCTGAAGTCAACTGCAGGACGTGTGACGCAAACAGGGCCAGGCTCCCCTGGCAAAAGGACCTGAAACCAACAGCAAACAATGCAAATCAAGCCCTTACTCGTGGCACATTGGGGCTCAAAGCAGCTTGCTGAGCTTCCACCTGCAAAGCCTGCAAAGGACCAGCTCGCCCAATTTTCCGAAGGTCTCACCCCGATCCCTGCACAAAGGGTAATTGAGCAGCACCAGCAAAGCTGTGGGCTGGTCACAGGCTCTCCGGAGTCTGCGGGCTCACCCTGAAAGGGAATTCGGCCAAGACGCGCGCCAGGAGACAGCTTAATGGACAGGCGCTTTTGCACCGTGAGGTTCTGGCTCACCAAAAGCTCCAAGCCAACCTTGGAATCGTGGAAATGAGAAACTCATCTCCTGCCCACGCTCACCTGTTCCAAGGGCCACCCCGAAAACAACAACAAAGGCCTAGACGCCCGGAGGGGGGGGGACAACAAGAGCAACAACAGCAACAGCAGCAGCAACAGGACATGCCCACGCACCACGCAAACTCACACACCATGCGCACATAGACGTGACATTGCAAAACAACACAACACAACAACAACATGCACACACACACACACCCACACCCACACAGTGCAACGGCCCAGGCTTCCGGCCGCACAGTAACAAAGCAGCACAGCGGTGAGGCTGAGCGCTGCGAGGATCGGGAGCCTCAGCAGGAAGCATGGGGTGTAAGGGGCCTTGGCTGCTGGTGGAAACCCGCACAAAGAGTTCATATCAGTTACAGATTGAAAATCCCAAAAGAATCCAGTCTTGGTTTCGAGCTGGCCCACCCAACAAACCCCCCATAAGGCATAATAAGGGGCTTGGTTCGCGATTTTGGTGGAAACTCGCAGCGGCACCATGGGGAAAGCGAACCATGTGGGAGCCCTTTCAAAACAAGCCTCCTCACACACACACACACAAACAAACAAACAAAAAAAACAAACAAACACTAGCACAAACAAACCCACCCAGGCAAACACCAACACGAAAAGACTCACACACTAACGCTAAAACACACACTAACACACTGGCACAAACTAAGAAACAAACTAACACACAAGCACACACGAACCCAAACACATACATAATAAGATTCACTAATACACACACACACACACCAGCACACGCGCACACACAAACAAGCGCACACACACACAAACACACACACAGACACAGTAACACGCAAACACACTAACACACACACACACAAACACACACACACTAACACACACTAACTAACTAAGACACTAACACACTAACACACACACACAAACACACAAACACACAAACACACAAACACACAAACACACAAACACACAAACACACAAACACACAAACACACAAACACACAAACACACAAACACAGAAGCACACAAGCACACAAACTCACAAACACACAAACACACAACCACACAACCACACAAACACACAAACACACAAACACACAACCACACACACACACAAACACAAACAAACACACACACACACACGCACACACACGCACGCACGCACGCACGCACGCACGCACGCACGCACGCACGCACGCACGCACGCACGCACGCACGCACGCACGCACGCACACACGCACGCACGCACGCACGCACGCACGCACGCACGCACCCACACACACACACACGCACACACACACACACACACACACGCACACCCACGCACACGCTAACACCCACACACACACAAACTAACTAACACACTGACACACTAACAGTTATTAACACATACAGACACTAACACGCACTCACACACGCGAGCACACACACACACAGATACTAACACACACACACACTAAACCACACACACACTAAAACCAACACAATAAGCAACACACACACACGCATTAAGACACACACACACACACTAACACTATCACTGACACAAACACCAACACACAAACACATACACTAACACACTCAATATAACACCCACATTCACACGCACACACACACACACAGCAACACACACACACACACGCACAAACACTAACACGCTTGCACGCGCACGCACACACACACACACCAGCACGCACAAACACACTAGCACATACACGCACACACGCCAACACGCACACACACCCACACACCAACAGTCCCTAACACATATACATACTAGCACACACACACACACTAAAACTAACACCAACACACACACAAACACTAACACACACACAAACACTAACACACACACACACACAAACAGTCAGAACACACATACACACACAGTAACACTAACACCAACACACACACAAACACTAACACACACACACAAAAAACTAACACGCGACACTAGCACACACACACACACAAACAGTCAGAAAACACACACACACAGTAACACTAACAGCAACAAACACACACACACAAACACACAAAATGAAATTAAAACAAGGTAGACCGTGCGCCCAGGTGCCAAGCAGACAGAGCGCTGAGCTCGTCGGCCCCACGTTGCAGCAGGGCCGGAAAGGCTTGAAGAGCCTTCACCTGAGCAATGCACAATATTACTCCATTTAAATTTAGGCTTAGGGAGCCTCAAAAAGGTGGTTTTCCCTTTGGCTTCCATGTCAAGCCATCCGCCACCCCCTCCCCCCAAAAAACAGGAAAAAGAAAAAGGACAAGATACACACAAACACACACACAGACACACACACACACAAACACACAAACACACAAACACACAAACACACAAACACACAAACACACAAACACACAAACACACACACACACACACACACAACCACACAACCACACAACCACACACACACAACCACACACACACACACACATTTGTGTGTGTGTGTGCGCGCGCATGTGCATGCTTATATGTGTGTGTCCTTCTTGAGGGGCAGCTTTTTTGGTATGGTTCCTTGCCGAGAACCAAAGGGAAACAAAGCCAGCCATTCCGGCTAAAACCCGTAGCAGCGGCCACTTTGCTCGGCTCTTGATGGCCCCCGAGCGGCCCTATCGCTTTGTGGTGTCAAGCATTCGCCCGAGGCGCAGCCTTTTGACGCAGGCGGCACAAAGTGACGCTAAGGTTTCAACATGGGCCTCATTTTTGTCGGCCCGCCCATTTGAGACAACTCCATCTTGGTGCCTCGCAAATTTAGGAACAGTCGGAAGGTTAAGCTTCAAGGCCTTTGCGCCAGGGTAACGCTCAACAAGGATTCCCACTCTTAGTCGAATGGACGGCTGTCAAAACTAAGGACCCTTTTGGAGCCTGCACTAAGCGTCACCAGGTTCCTAAAAGGCCAATGCATCGTGCAAGAACTGTCATGTGGGGACCCTGTTGATCCCAAATGAACACATCGCCCATCAGGGGGGCCCGTGTTGGTGAGGATGCCTTGCATGGCAGGGCTGAACGCCTTCCATGGCTTCTCATTGCTAAGGGCCTGTCAGGAAAGTCGGGTATACAAGAAGCGCCTTTTTCCACAGTCATCGACATGGCGGTTGAGGAAACCCGCGTGGGTCCATCTGGGTCCATCTGGGTCCCAGGCTGTGAGGCCACTCTCCTCGCTGGCTTTCATAATGTCAGTCTTCACGCGCGTCACGGAGCTTCCGAGCATTTGCTCGATGGAGGGCGGACATGTCTGGTACAGGTCGTCCCTGGGCGGGGCGCCCAAGGCCACATTGTCCACACCTTTTTTTGGGTTGGCCTTGTTTGACTTGAAGGAAGGACCCACATAGACAAAGCATAAGAGGAGGCTTTCTCCGAGGCGCAGATCAGAATGTACAGCTGCTGCTGCCTTCTGCACGCCTTCCACCTGAAGCACAATCACGTACACTGGCCTGGGGGTTCGATGCCCCCAACACAGTCTTTACATGCAGGTCAGGTGTGATGCGCGTTTGGTCTCCTGTATGACCTTTCAGGGGCGTACGCATGCCAACGAGGCTGGCAAGTGTAAAACAGGGAAAAAAAGGCAGCCAAGCGGCGTCCTGCATGGAAGTCTTCACGCCGTCGAGCAACATAGACACTTCCTGAAAACCACGAAGGACCCCCCAAACAAAGTGCACACAAATCTCCCACGCCTCCTTTCGAGAAGGTTCGGGGGAAGGAATTATGGCCAATGTTGTTGGGGCCACTTGAGTGATCCATTCAATGGGTTCCAACATGTTCCAACTTTTAGCAACTGGGTTGCCGGATGCTTCACACATCCTGGGGCCGTGTATTTGAAGCCCTTCAGCGGGCTTGACTGCCGGGCTGCGGAGGCGGCCCAGTTGAAGGCATTGCCCCCGAAGCCCGAGGAGAAAGCGAAGACGCAGCTCAGGAGTGTCACCGCCTCACAACCAGGCGCGGGGTACATTCGGTCAAACGGAGCCCCACAAACAAAACATAGCCTTTTCTTCCCGCAAATGACTGCGTGGATGGGATATGTTTTCAGTTGGGAACCCTTTCGGTGGACATCATTGACATGGAGGTTCATGTTCTTTCCCAACCACTTCGAAAAGCGTCCAAGAATTGAACTTCGTAGCAAAATGGGTCATACAACCCCAAAATGGGCTTCTCTCAGGTACAGTCGGTCATCCGCAAACAACCAAAGTGCGGCCTCCGACCCCAGTTTCAGCCAACGGGACCTGGTCGAAAGACACACCTTGCACCCTGGATCCGTCGGGACTAGGCCGCTGGCGCTGAGGCAGGCGGCAACAGCGAAAGCGCCCCAGTAGAAGTGCTCCTCCTAGACGCATTCCATGTTTGTTGTAGTTTACCCGTGAGACTTGAACCCAGGGGGTTTCAGCCCTAATTTTGACCCCAGCTGTGGCTTTTGCTGGAAACCTAGGGGTTCCCTTTTGGGGAATACCTTGAAGCAATTAACCATCGAGCATTGCCTCGACGGGCAAGGTCGTCCCTTCCCTGCAACAAGAAGCGCCTTGCAAGGGGAAGAGTTGCTCTATCATTGTGCCAAGGGGGAAAGAATCATTCGACATCCTGTTCAGATCTGCAATGTTTAAACATGTTAGGAAAGGACAGAGGCCTTCCAGCGAAGCATCTCTGGACTTGGATGTTCAGACACCCCCCCTGCATGAAAACGGCCTACGCGCAAGGGACAACTCAATATAAAACTTAAACCATTCATAAACAAGTGCGTAAGCAAGTACACTAGCAAGGCACATGGCTACCTGCCAGCATCTCGCCACGGGGCAGCTTCCCTACCCATCTTGACTCATCTTCTTGCCCGCTCGCAGGCTCTAGCTTCATGAATCCCAGTCATTCAGGCAATGCACATTGATCCACAGCCAGGGCTTCTTCAAACAATGCTGCTTTGCGGGATTCGGCCTCCGCCAAGAAAATTTGAACTGCAAGCATCTCCTCTGAAGAACTTTTTGGAAGAACCCCTTCTAACTACTTCGCTGCAACAGCAAAAACTACGCAGCTACCGGGCCTCAGCTTCGGAGCGGTTTTGGGGCAGGTTCCCAAGGAGGCTCAGGGCTGTTGGGAATACTCCACGGGCTTCTTTAGAAGGGGGTGATGCATGGGAAGATTGTTTTCCCCGTGGATGCATTCCCGTCCTTCAGCCCCGGCACAGTGGGCAGCCGAAAGCCGCAGAAGGGCTGGGGGATGGCATCGTAGACAGCGGCCTTAGGTCAGCGCAAGATTCGAAGTGAAGCCAGAAGGTGCTTTCGGATGAGTGAGCTTCATCATAATTAGTGCAGAGACCCTCCTGCAGACAAACACGGACATGGAAGCCAAAACAGTCAATAGCGACAAATCAGGGGCGGGGGGAGCTTTCTCCAGGCCGATGCTGTCGGATGATTTGGGCTTGTTTTTGGCACTGAAAGTGCCTTGTTGGGGTTGTTGTGAAGAAAAACCATGAAAACCAAAGGCAGGCCAACCGGGAAATTGCATTTTGAGGCCGTTCCGCCATCTGGAGACAAGGATGAACCATTGGCCTCTCCATTTCTTGGTTAGGCTTCATTTTGGTGCATGAGCATCCAGAGAACCTCGAGTGGACTTCATCCACCACATATCCACGCACTTGCGCCCTGAGGGATTGATATTAATGGACGGACCCCTGCGGCCACGCCACATAAATTACCGCCGCAGCAACTACCAGGCCGCAAAGGATGGCGAGAAGTGGCCTCGCGCTGCACTTCTTTGTCATACAACTGCCACTTGGTCGATGTTAGCCTTCACGAAGGGATGTTTGGGTGGCGTGGGTGGTGTGTTCTAGGTTGAGTTTGTATGCGGGGCATAGGACAAAGGATAGAGATCACTCACTCTTCACTCTTAATCGTCAAGAATGCAAGAAAGTTAAGCCTGCCAAGCATTTGCTTTCCTAATTCTTGGCTGGCGCCCCTTCCCTTCCCAATCCAACCCTTCCTTTGTCATCGCTTTCCCATACCCGCACAAAGCGAATGAGCGGCTGGACAGGCTTGGGGTGTGAGTCTTGCCCTGAGAGCTTGAAATAGGGGCCCGCGGGCTTGGGCCCAAGGTGCAAGGCTTGGGGGCTGATGCGCGCTGCCATTCCATGCGGGGTTGTGAAACAAACCCGTGTCCGCTGTCCACTACCGTCGCTATCGCGATTTTCTCTTACCGTCATCAGTTTGAAGGGGTCTCACTCTGTAGCGCCAATCTAGTACGCAAAGTACACTTCCGCAGCTCCAGCAAAGAAGTCACGACTTTGTAGGACACGCGCAAGCACGCGAAGTACCCCTCTGCAGCTCCAGCTTGGAAATCGCAACTTTGTAGCACAAGTCTAAGTCGCGAAGCGCACCTCCGCAGCTCCAGCTACGAAATCACAACTTTGTAGTGCACGTGTAAGTACCCGAAGTACACTTTCGCAGATCCAGCAAAGAAGTCACAACTTTGTAGGACACGTGTAAGTACGCGGAGTACACTTGTGCAGCTCCAGCTGGGAAAGCACAACTTTGTAGAAGTACACCTGCGCAGCTCCAGCTCGGAAGTTGTAACTTTGTAGCGCAAGTCTAGTACGTGAAGTACACCTGCGCAGCTCCAGCTCGGAAAATGCAACCTTGTAGCGCAAGTCTAATATGCGAACCACGCTTCCGCAGCTCCAGCTCGGAAATCGCAATTGTGTAGTACAAGTCTAGTGCGCGAAGTACACATCCGCAGCTCCAGCTCGAAAGTCGCAGCTTTGGAGTACTTACGCAGGTGCAGCTTGAAAATCGTGACCGCCCTGCTGTTGTTTTGTTCTACTCTTATCGTTTTGCAGAGTTTTTACAGCAAACACCATTCAAGGGCACGTCCCTTTATGATTCTTTGGCGCCGGGTTCTTTCACAATCCCATGTCGAGCTCAGCTTCAATCCTCAGGCCTGTTCAGAAAGGTCCGGGCCACTTGCGGTGTGGATAACAGTTTTCTTCTGAGACCCCGGACTCCCAAATGCTCTGCAAGTGCGGACCTGAGGCCCTCATTTGCGCATGACATGGCATCCACCCCAGTATAACCTCCCTTCAGTATCTTCAGCTAGGGTGCCACAGCAAGCCGCCCGTAGACAGCATGAAAGGCCAGAAGCCTTGCAGATCAAAGGGCTCCACCCAGCCTCCATCACCTGGGCCAAAGCCAGAAAAACATCTGCGCAACATACAACCAAACCGAGATGTCGACTTGGGCTCAGGAAAATCCGGGATTAAGGTGAATATGCAAATGAAAGGAATGTACCACAGACCCAAGTCAAATGAGAGACGGCTTGCCAGAACTCATATTCCGAGGCCGCGCTTTGAATGCGTCATCCGCTTTGCGCAAAGCCATCGCAGCCTACCGGTGCGCGGGCTGCAATGGGCTTTGGACCTGTTTTCTCATACGGTCAGGCCTCAATTTTAGAGGTCAGATGTCGAAGCACTCATGGCTCTTCTGCAATGCCGGCTCCCTCAGCGGTGAGGGCCAAAGACTCTTCGGCTTCGGCCGGTACCGCACGAGACTCGTTCCGCCAGGACTCATTCGAGCTCCTCTCGCGGGACCTGGGACGAGTGTTCAAACCAATGTGGGTCCAACAAACTCCTTTTGCGTTAACATAGGAGCCCAGGGTTTGGTTGTTCATGTTGGCACCTGATTAATTAAGGGCCCCCCCCTCCCCCCCCCTGAACAATGGAGGCGCCAAAATAAAGGGGGCGCACTTTTGGGACGTCCAAACAATGGAGGAGGATTTTGGGGCCCAATTCTACTTTAGTATTGCAGCCACTTCCTTTTTGCAATTCTACTTTAGTATTGCAACCACTTCTTCCTGAGCAGACTTTTTGGAATACTACTTTAGTATTGCAACCACTTCTTCCTGAGCAGACTTTTTGGAATACTACTTTAGTATTGCAACCACTTCTTCCTGAGCAGACTTTTTGGAATACTACTTTAGTATTGCAACCACTTCCCTTTCAGTTCAAGTGGGCCACCAATTGAAAGGGGAATGCTTTTGAGTAAGGCAACTGATAGTTTATTTTCTGGGAGGGGGGATGGGGGCTTGCCACCTGTGAGGGGTACCCTTGTCCTGATTGTTTTGTTTTGTTTTTGCATTTTTTTAAAACACGGTTTAATAAAGAGTTTGCAGTTTCAGGGCTGGGGATGGTTTTCAAATTTCAGAGGTTTCAGCTGGCTTTGGGTTCTGTGGTTGAGCAACCAATTGAAAGGGGAATGCTTTTAAACAAGTGGGCCACCAATTGAAAGGGGATGCTTTTAAGCAAGTGGGCCACCAACTGAAAGGGGAATGTTTTTGAGTAAAGCAATTGATAATCTATTTTCTGGGAGGGGGGATGGTTTTTCCCAAAAGCATCTCTGATGCTTGGGTTCTGCTTTAGGTTTTCTCTTAAGGTGCCTGGGAGCGATACAAGCTGTGACGACGGAGATAAGAAGGGATTTCCAGTTCGTTGTGCTGCAGACCGGGCGTGCGATGCTGGCTGGGGGCGCAGACCGGGCGTACGAGGCTGGCTGGGGGGAAGGCGGTGTGGTGCAGACTGGGTGCGCGAGACTGGCGCGGTGGACGCTCGTGACAAGCGGAAGCCGCCCCCGAGCGAGACGGGCGCGGGGGGCGCTCGTGACAGGCCGAAACCGCCCCCCAGCGAGACTGGCGCGGAAACCGCCCCCGAGCGAGACGGGCGCGGGGGACGCTCGTGACGCCCCCGAGCGAGACGGACGCGGGGGACGCTCGTGACAGGCCGAAACCGCCCCCAAGCGAGACTGGCGCGGTGGACGCTCGTGACATGCGGAAACCGCCCGCGAGCGAGACTGGCGCGGGGGACGCTCGTGAGAGGCCGAAACCGCCCCCGAGCGAGACGGGCCCGGACGCTCGTGACAGGCCGAAACCGCCCCCGAGCGAGACTGGCACGGTGGACGCTCGTGACATGCGGAAACCGCCCGCGAGCGAGACTGGCGCGGTGGACGCTCGTGACAGGCCGAAACCGCCCGCGAGCGAGACGGGCGCGGGGGACGCTCGTGACAGGCCAAAACCGCCCCCGAGCGAGACGGGCGCGGGGGACGCTCGTGACAGGCCGAAACCGCCCTCGAGACCGAGACTGGCGCGGGACGCTTGTGACAGGCCGAAACCGCCCCCGAGCGAGACTGGCGCGGTGGACACTCGTGACAGGCGGAAACCGCCGCGAGCGAGGCTGGCGCGGACGCTCGTGAGAGGCCGAAACCGCCCCCGAGCGAGACGGGCGCGGGGGACGCTTGTGACAGGCCGTAAACCGCCCCCGAGCGAGACTGGCGCGGTGCACGCTCGTGACATGCGGAAACCGCCCGCGAGCGAGACTGGCGCGGTGGACGCTCGAACCGCCCCCGAGCGAGACGGGCGCGGGGGACGCTCGTGACAGGCCGAAACCGCCCCCGAGCCCGAGCAAGACGGGCGCGGGGGACGCTCGTAACAGGCGGAAACCGCCTTCGAGCGAGACTGGCGCGGTGGACTGTCGTGACAAGCGGAAGCCGCCTTCGAGCGAGACTGGCGCGGTGGACGCTCGTGACAAGCGGAAACCGCCCCCGAGCGAGACGGGCGCGGGGGACGCTCGTGACAGGCCGAAACCCCCACCGAGCGAGACGGGCGCGGTGGACGCTCGTGACAAGCGGAAACCGCCCTTGAGCGAGACTGGCGCGGTGGACGCTCGTGACAAGCGGAAACCGCCCCCGAGCGAGACGGGCGCGGGGGACGTCGAAACCGCCCCCGAGTGAGACGGGTGCGGGGGACGCTCGTGACAGGCCGAAACCGCCCCCGAGCGAGACTGGCGCGGTGGACGCTCGTGACAGGCGGAAACCGCCCTTGGGCAAGACTGGCGCGGTGGACGCTCGCGACAAGCTGAAACCGCCCGCGAGCGAGACTGGCGCGGGTGGACGCTCGTGACAAGCGGAAACCGCCCCCGAGCGAGACGGGCGCGGGGGACGCTCGTGACAGGGCGAAGCCGCCCCCGAGCGAGACGGGCGCGGGGGACGCTCGTGACAGGCCGACGGCGAGCGAGACTGGCGCGGTGGACGCTCGCGACAGGCGGAAACCGCCCTCGAGCGAGACTGGCGCGGTGGACGCTCGTGACAAGCGGAAACCGCCCGCGAGCGAGACTGGCAGCGGAAACCGCCCCCGAGCGAGACGGGCGCGGGGGACACTCGTGACAGGCCGAAGCCGCCCCCAAGCGAGACGGGCGCGGGGGACCCTCGTGACAGGGCGAAACCGCCCCCGAGCGAGGCGCGGTGGACGCTCGTGACAAGCGGAAACCGCCCCCGCGAGACGGGCGCGGGGGACGCTCGTGACAGGCGGAAACCGCCCCCGAGCGAGACTGGCGCGGAGGACGCTCGTGACAGGCCAAAACCGCCCCCGAGCGAGACTGGCGCGGTGGACGCTCGTGACATGCGGAAACCGCCCGCGAGCGAGACTGGCGCGGTGGACGCTCGTGACATGCGGAAACCGCCCGCGAGCGAGACTGGCGCGGTGGACGCTCGTGACAGCGGAAACCGCCCGCGAGCGAGACTGGCGCGGTGGACGCTCGTGACATGCGGAAACCGCCCGCGAGCGAGACTGGCGCGGTGGACGCTTGTGACATGGGGAAACCGCCCGCGAGCGAGACTGGCGCGGTGGACGCTCGTGACATGCGGAAACCGCCCGCGAGCGACACTGGCGCGGTGGACGCTTGTGACATGCGGAAACCGCCCGGGAGCGAGACTGGCGCGGTGGACGCTTGTGACATGCGGAAACCGCCCGGGAGCGAGACTGGCGCGGTGGATGCTCGTGACATGCGGAAACCGCCCGAGAGCGAGACTGGCGCGGTGGACGCTCGTGACATGCGGAAACCGCCCGCGAGCAAGACTGGCGCGGTGGACACGCTGGTGAGACTGGCGCGGACGCTCGTGACAAAAACCGCCCGCGAGCGAGACTGGCGCGGTGGACGCTCGTGACATGCGGAAACCGCCCGCGAGCGAGACTGGCGCGGTGGACGCTCGTGACATGCGGAAACCGCCCGCGAGCGAGACTGGCGCGGTGGACGCTCGTGACATGCGGAAACCGCCCGCGAGCGAGACTGGCGCGGTGGACGCTCGTGACATGCGGAAACCGCCCGCGAGCGAGACTGGCGCGGTGGACGCTCGTGACATGGGGAAACCGCCCGCGAGCGAGACTGGCGCGGTGGACGCTCGTGACATGCGGAAACCGCCCGCGAGCGAGACTGGCGCGGTGGACGCTCGTGACATGCGGAAACCGCCCGCGAGCGAGACTGGCGCGGTGGACGCTTGTGACATGCGGAAACCGCCCGCGAGCGAGACTGGCGCGGTGGAGCTCGTGACATGCGGAAACCGCCCGCGAGCGAGACTGGCGCGGTGGACGCTCGTGACATGCGGAAACCGGTGGACGCTCGTGACACGCGGAAACCGTTCGCGAGCGAGACTGGCGCGGGGGACGCTCGTGACATGCGGAAACCGCCCGCGAGCGAGACTGGCGCGGTGGACGCTTGTGACATGCGGAAACCGCCCGCGAGCGAGACTGGCGCGGTGGACGCTCGTGACCCCAAATCTTCCAAAAGTGTTTTTAACAGAACCATGCTTAAATCATCGATGTTCGTTGGAAAACATTGTTTATTTAAACACTTTTCGCTTAAATAAGCATTGTTTCATGGTAACATTGCTTAATTAAGGACTTTTGCGGTCTTAATTAAGCATTGTGCCGCTTAAATAAGCAATCATTGCTTAAATCGTGTTGATATATAAAAATGTCAAAATGCTTAAATAAGCAATGTTTTTTAAGCAATGTTTTCAGCATGATCACGTGCACGCATGTATATCGATCGATCATATTTTTTAATTTCAATGTTACAGCAGGCATGCAAGAATAATGAGTTGTGAGCTGTGTTCTTGTCGATTTTTTTGTGGTGCAACATGCAGCTGCGTGGAATCACGCGCAGGAATTCATGCGCACCATGCCTGTGCTTCATGACGCCTGGGCGTATACATGCGTGCGAAATTGCAGCTGTTTTGAGAGACCAAGATCAATTTAGCCATGGCCAAAGTTCGTGCTAAGAACACTGCCGCTGCCAAAGACATGATGGGTTGCTTTGTCCTGTGGAGTCGAGAGATTGATGTGGAGAGCTTCAG